TCAACATGTTTTTCTACGAGCAACGTGCCATTCAATGCTAGCTAGGGTCTTAAGGCGCACGTTACACGTTCCACCGCTACGTGGCGGTGAACTTCTGCCATGCACACGAGTGCTTCAGCGCCGCTGCTGGGCTTCTCACGCTTGGTGGAAAGCTGCCTCTATGTGGCTCGAGGTGGACAGACAGCTGAAAACCCCAGGTTTTAGAGGCGTTTGCTTGTCGGACATGGAAAAGGATCGGATTCTTAGCCAAGTCATCTCATGAACGACCTGGACCATGAAGGTCTGCATGACCATCCCCCCCCATGACTTCCTCCCATGACGTTCTCCCAGTGCATTCCTCGGAAACGGGTCGCACCATGCCCCGAGCCGCAGGAATCAAGGACCCCGAGAGTGAGGCCGAATGGCTTCCGCCACTGGGACTGGGTTCAGAGCGGTGAGACCCCTGGAACGAAGCGCAGTCGCAGTAGAACCGCGACTGCTGTGGCGGTTGGCGGCCCCAACTTGATTCGATCCTTTTGAAGGGTAAAAGGGAACTGAATTCGACCGTTTGGATGGTGCAGATTAGGTTAAAAACCTGCAGCCACTTGACCACCGCTTAGAAGACTGCTTTCAATATATCGAAAGCAAGAGGCCTTTCACATACCTTTCGGTTCGTGCTAATAGTGCAGCATGCTGACTGCTGAGTTGTCAGGACGCTAGGGCCGGTAGGCCGTGTGTTTTTCTTGCGATTTTTCTTTTTCGCCGCTTTTTTGCATCCCAGCTCCAGGTCTTCTTTGCATTGCGCAACAAAAAACATATTCTCAGACTGCATGCATTGCGCAACAATAAAACATATCTCAGACTGCATGCATTGCACAATAATAAAACATATCTCAGACTGCACATAACATGAGGCCAGCTCATCGCATCTGAAACATATCTCAGACTGCACATAACATGATGCTTGCAACAACAACACGTACGACATGGACAGTTGCTGACGGTCAGAGCTGCAAATTGTTGGGGTGGGGGGTGGGGCGTGGGGGGGTGGGGCCAACATAATGACGTCGGTCTACATCGTCGGCCAATATAATGACGTCGGTGGGGCCAACATAAAGAACGAGCTGTGCAAAGTCGCTAAGCAGAGCCGGTGAGTGCAAAATAAAGTAGTTTTGTGATTTCGCAAAACGTGGAATTTGCAGTTGCATCTTTGCAAATGATAGTGGCGCTACAGCGCCGTGCGCATGTTCAATCAGACAGTCCTCACGAAACGCCACGGCCTACCGGGGGTCGTGCACCCAGTAGTTCAAGGCCCTTGGTGATGTAGGTTGAGACGACCTGTCGTGGGCAAAGTTAATGATCGATGTCTCTTTGGAGGCAAAATAGAATTGCAGTCCCACAGCTGCCAGAACTTTGAACGGGTTAGGCAGCAACTCCTCAAAAACTCAAGAACCACAGGCCATAGGTCAAGAACAAGCCACAGCTACGGTTTCGTAAGCTGGGGGCCTCCTGCGCAGCTTAGGGACCCGGACCTGACCTGTACCGAGCCAAGTGGCCCAGGATGCGTTTCGCGCACAACTCCGATGGGTCCGTGTCCTTCTGGTCTCCGGTGCAGTCCGACGCTCGGAGTGGCGAGGCGGTTTTTGGAGGGCGGAGAAAACGGATGCGGAGCCGTGCGCAGAACGGGGGGCGGGGGTGGGGAGGTTTTCATTCGGGCCCAACTTCCGCTCCCTGGATGGAGTCTTCAGGGCATCCAAGAAAGGTTGGCCCTTTGGTCCGCTTGCATGATCTTGCATATACAGTATTGCATTGTCGGTACTATGACACCTTGATTTCATCAAGTTAGTCGGTTTTTCCGGATTTGCTTCGGGCAGTGGACATCGTTTGGTCAGATTGATGTTCGGTGCATCGATCCAAACTTGGAGGTTCCCTGAAGGGTCGCGGTTGTTCAGGGGCGTCGGCCCAAGGGTCTGACTCTTCCGAACCGATCACCACACGTCCCAACACGACCTGATTATCACGCAACAAAACCGATGGACAAGCGATGAACAGCGTCACTGATGACCATGGATGTCGTTTTCGTATGGCCTCCGACCCTTCGACTTCGGTCTAAGGAGACCTTTCTGGATGCCGATTGGACGCAGCCCTTCACTGTAGCGCCTTGGAATCCCATCGTGAGCCGCTTGGCTGTGACGAGGTGAAGCGATGTGGGATCCGGACGAGGTAGTGAGGCTGAGCACTCGAATTGGACCTGCATTTTGCCACTTCACTTGGGCTTTATAGGAGTCGTCTCAGACGCTTTTTGGGGCTATGTTGCTTGCTGGACTGTGGCAATTGAATCATTGACGTCCTCTTGCTGGAGCACATACTTCTTCGATCTTCATCTTTGTGTTGCTCTCGCGCGCCCACAATGTTGGCTCTTGATGGACAAACAGAAACACAAAACTTCTCCCGCGGTTGGATTTCAGGATGTTCCAAGACATCCGTGGTTGTATGAATCCAGATTCAATAGAATTAGAACGAGTTCAAGTCTCGTCCATCTTGGGATGCTGTACCCTTCCAGGCCAGGGCCGGCGCTTGTACCCTTTCAGTTTAAGCTACGTGCCGCTGCTGGGGAGGCCAAGGCACCGTCAGGCGCCAGCCGAATCGAACGCAGGAGCCGGGGGAGTGAGGGATGAGCAGAACATAGTAATCAGCGGTCACGATGTGTATTATGAGGTTTGAAGGTCTTGTGCTGAGCAGCCTAGAAGTGGGCTCATTTGGCTGAGACACATGGTGATCGGTGATCGATATTGTTCATTGGTCACATTGAATTCGAGCTTGCGGACATTTAGTGACTCGAATATTAGAGTTCAATCGGGCTCAATCTGTCACAAGGGCTCATGAGAATCTGTGTTCGAGCCGAAGCAATTCTCGGTTCTTTTGGTTGAAGAGATGGACATAGACAGATTTTTCATTGTTCCGACTGAGCCACATTCACATTCTTGTCAAATCACTCACCGGTTCTGAAATGACCGGGTAGAACGTAAAAGCCAACCACCTGGCTGGACTCGATTCGCATTTCTTCTACCTATTTGCCCAAGTCTAGACCTTGCAAGTCTATAGACACTTGCAATCTTGCAAAAAGACACTGCACGGTCCGTATCCGTGTCGTGTCTACCGGTCCGCCGCCCGTGCGTTCTGTGGACCGGTCACCACCCGTTTTTTCGATCCTCCAATCCCAGGGCCCGGACTTGGCCGACACCGGCCTCCGGCGCACGCTGATGCTGGCGGCGCCCAGCCGGCCCGCACGCAAGAGGCGGTGCTACACTCTGCGCGCGCCACCGGGAGAACACGGGGAGAACACGGTGCTTTTGACTGCTGATTGGGATCACCATCTTGGTCTATGTCTATGCCTTATTGCATCCATAGTGATCCTTTGTTTTCTTTGGCTGATTTGGCTTCCAGTGTTGAAGCTTGCTAGTGCATGAATTATTGGAGATGATTGCGTGTCGACTTGCGAAACCTCAAGCCATAGCACCAGTGCCGCTTTTGTTCTCCGATTCCCGAACACACATCACCTTTTGCGAATAGCTTTGACCTGTGTGTTTCTCCAAACCTCAACGCCACTGCACTTAGTGTTTCTATGCATTTCGCTTTGCCAATGTTGTTGGTTGAGATTATTTGAAGATCACACCTTCCAACAACTACAGCAGCTAAGCTAGTGTACAGTAGGTTAACAGAATCATCGTTGCGGGTTGCAGTTTGTAAAGGGTGCAGTTGCCTGGAGCTGTGGAGAATTGAAGTCTTTTCGAAAGAACGTGCACTTGGTAGAAGGATGTAGAAGGACAGGTTGCTTCACACCTTCAACACCAGCAGCTATGGTTTTTTGGGGGCTGCAGCCGTGGTAGGGCGAGGTTGTGCAACTCTTTCAGGCTGACTTGCCAGCGTGTTGATGGGGCTGGCCCCACTCCCCCCTCACTCCATATGGCTGTGGGTCATGGCACCTGGATATCTTGGTTGACCTGCTTTCAAGGTCAAGCTACATGGCGTCTGGGGTTCCCGGTTTTGACCCGTCAGACGCACCTGGCTCTACCCCTCGACAGGTGGCTGAGCAGCCTCGCAAGGAAGATCGGATCCGCACAGCTGCTCGTGCAATGCTTGATGGGGTGGTTGGCTGATGGAACCGCCCCATCCAACCACCGATGTCCAGAATCCTCTTGGAGTTTTCGGGAGCCTTGGAAAAGGGATGCTTCTCTGAAAGGCACAAAGTTCATCAAAGTTCTGTGGGCCACAGACTTCTCCTGAAGATGCCCCAAACCATTCGATAAGCGGTCTGCACTTATCGCCGCAGTCCGGTGGAGACCAGTGCAAATCACTGAACATTTGAGCACACTTTAAACAGATCTGCAATGTCGGAGAGTCTGAGAGGGACAGCAACCTGTATATTTACTATTCTTTAGAATAGCATAGAGTACATAAGCCAAGCGAACGTGTACATGATCCATCATCACCCACCAGTCTAGATGGGAACTTTGATGTGAACTCCACTCAAAAGTTGCTGTTTTCTGTGGCCCTGGAACACCTCAAAAACACCCCAAACCCAACGGTGTCCCGTCACGTGGGCGAGGGCACCATCCGCTGGAGTCAGGGCACCGGTGATCGCTCGCGCTTGAGGCTCCGGCCGGAGTTTGCCTCGGGCGAGTGGGGGAGCTCGAGGGAGCCGAGCGGTCGGAGCACCGGATACGCCGCAAGGCGGTCATGGTCCACTGCGTTGATCATTCTTTTAAGCTACACATCAAGAAGGTTTTGAGAAAGGTTTTGGCATTCTGTATCTCACTGTGGCAGTTCTACTAAATGTCCCTAGGGTCTTTGGCTTGCATTCCGAGGATTCCTGCGCTTTGTGGCAGATTCAGACCCAGATGACTCCCAATGCCGAGATCTTCCAAAGAGGACTTTAATATCTTGCACTGCACGCTATAGCCAGGGCCAGGTCTGCACCGTCCTCTTTTGGTGGGATTCTTGATTACCCCCAACCAATCTGGACGCCCACTTCACACTACTAATATATGTATATATATATATATCATACACAGCAGTTCATTTCAGGTGCCAAATCTCGTTTGACCACTGGGATTCACTGCTGCAAACCGGGATCCTCGCTTCAGATCCTGCTTCCCCTTCCTTCCCACGACCCGCGCGACCCGCAAAGGCTCGACGACTTCGCTTGGGGCGCCCAGTGCTTCCTCCCGCGGTCCGCGCGGGGGTAGGTGCCGAGGTCCCTCTGCCCGGTTTTTGTTGGGGAACATCGGGAGCACGTCCTGGGATTCGGATTGACCAGGGCCAGTGGGCCATCAAATGTTCAGGAAACTTTGCGAGGCTCACAGCTGTCCTCGCGCGGCTCCCGTGCCGTTCCGCACGGATCCCCCCATGGCAGCGCTGCCGTGGAGATCCGGGTGGCTGATGGGATCGCAGAGCTTCTCCAGGACAGGGGTGGTTCAGTAACAGTCTACAAGTAAGACTGGGTGAACATCGCCAAACCAGTCTAGTCCAAACTAGGGACAGTAAGACTGTTACTCCCCAGTTTCAGTGATTCCTGCGACATAGACCTTTCTTGTAATTGACCTCCCATCACCATGTAGGCCGTTTCGCCCAGGGTCTCCTGTTTGAGGGCCTACGCATTCCTATTGGGTATGTCTTGGACCAAGCGGTCCAACTGGAGGATCACCCGATTTCAATCCGATTGCCCTGTACCTTGAAGGAGGGGTATAGTACCCAGCTGGACGGTTGTGGTAATTGCTCTTAGACGTGGACACACGACTTTTGCATGGTTGAAATCAGGGCATCTCACAGAAGAGGGGGTCCTGTTCTTCAACATCCAGTGCAAGTCTTCAAGCCGTCTCATGTTGCAGTGCAGCAACTCTGTGATGTTCTCGTGGCTGTTATGTTGGGAACGGAGAGTTGGGAACGGAGCATCCCTATCCCGTGCTGCGGGCATGCAATTCGGTGGGTACGCAGGATGCCATGCTTGGCACACAGAGGCTCGGTTTGTCGCTCGCTATCACGGGGTGAGCGCCAAGTGTCCAGGGACACTTCCATCAACGGCATGTGCTGGAGATTGCTACTGCTAGAGGGACAACCATTTAGATTGATGTTCCATTGTAACTTCAAGTAGCAGGCACCAGCTGTACGGCAGTACGGCATTTCAGTTGGTTCTTTTTTCGTTCTGACTTGGCCTCCGGAACCCGTGAGTCGGCGTCGGCTTACAGCTTTTAAAGTCATCATCGAACCTCTCCGTCAAAACCGGACGGTCACATAACTGTATGGGTCACTCTTCTCCAATAGCTGCTTAACCTTGAGGTCTGCTTCAATAGGGGTTTGCTTCAGCTCTTGCTTCACAGCAAGTTAGCCTGAACCTTTCCCAAGACCACAACCAGTCTTTCTAGAAGTTGCCCATTGGAACCTGTGCTCTTAGAGGGCAGGAGGGTTTAGGGTTTAGAACATGAAGATGTGCCATGTGAACCTGAAGACTCAGTGAGAGGGGGTCTCAACACGGTGGTGTCGTGGCTCAGTGGATGTGAGATTCTCCTGGGGACATCTGAAAAGGTCCGCGGCGCCTGCGCCCGAGGCCCGGACATCCGTGCTGCGGCGCGGCCACGACGCTCCGTCCGGTGGCCCCAGGACCCAAGGAGAGGGGGGTTGATGGGCCGGTTTTCGGTGCAGAGGAGGCTGGAGTCAGGAGCGAAGGCCAAAAAGGTCTTGATGAATAACCCCAGCCGTTTGAATTGAACATCCTCTTCATTTGGGGGATGTATTAATCAAGAGTTTAGAACAGGACAGAAAAAGGACAGAAAGCAAACCACTTGTTGTGGGGCCATGGGGTCATCGATGCCCAGGAGTCAAGGGGCAGGTGCTTTGGACCATTGTGATCCTCATGGGGCAGGTGCTAGCAATAGGGCCATAGGGACCCACATACGGTGTCCGGCGGCTTGGATCAACATTTAGGGAGTGGGAGGAGGTTTCAGGTTGGGTTTTCGCCGCGGGCGCCTTGCTTGGTGAATGGGTGTTGCAGATATCACCGTCTATGCGGGCTGACTCTTCTTGGTTCATGTTCTTTTTCCTTTTTTCCAATGGGCTTTGGAGAATCATCCATTTTGAGCCGCCGCCATGTGGCAAGGCCAGTTTTTTGCTGGCAGGTGAACCAACGCCGCGCCTCGTGTGTTGATGCGCAACTCTTGTTTGGCATGTTTTTTTTGCCATGAAGGGGTTTCAAGCGTTCATGGGTCCAGCATGGTTCAGCTGTTTGTCTTGGGCTGTGGTATCCGGTCAGCATTCTACAGCGCTTTCGGCCACATTCTACCGCAGCGGCCTAGCTCTCAGCGCTCCAAGGTCAGCTTCGCTGGGTGGCACGCGCGCACCAAGAGGGTGGTGCAAAGCTCTCAGCCTGAAGAGCCTCGGATGAAGCTGTTTTGTCCATTGGATTGACGCATGTTGACGCTGGGAGTGAAAACGCTCCATTTGGAGTGACTTCTGGACCGCCCCACTTCTTCAGGCTCTTCGTTGGAGTTCTGAATCACCTCATCATCAGGATCAGGAGAACAACACCCTGCGAGTGAGGAGCTGAGGAGCCCACTCCTAGAGTTCAATGAGATCTGAGACCTCTCTCATCGCGTGTGAACCTCCCCGAAGGGACCCATGGACGAGAGGATTTGCAGAGGATTCAAGGGCCCCTGGATCCATGGGCTCTGTCAGTTGGTCCCCCTCGACCAGGCCTTGGTGTCCGGGTAGAGAGTCTATTTCCACCCCAAATCCGATCTAGACCTAGAAGCGATGGCCTCCAACCTACTAGCAATGGCCTCCAAATCCTTCCCCACTTCCAGTCCCATGAGAAAGCTCTCTTCACCTACATCGCAAGGATGACTTGGTGGTGCCGTTGCCCTACAGCCGCCGAGTCTTCGCCTCCTCCTGGCTGGTGGCGATCACCACAGGTGTGGGGTTGTTGTGAAGCACCATGGATCTGGGACCAGTCAGGTGCTGTTTGCATGAGAAGATCCAGTGTTCATCGAGACTCACCACTTGCCACTTAAGCTCTGTCACGCTTGCTTTTTGGTGTCAGGATCTCTCTCTTATCATTTCCTATCACCCACATCGCAGATGTTTCAGAACTACATCCAAGCCCAGCATCACTATATAGACAATTGAACTTGGCGTGCTTCGGCATGCCAACAGGCCTTGCTGCCTTACATGGCCAGATGATGTGCTGCTTCCTATGCTTCCTGGTGCCTACGCAGCACGTGAGCGATGCGTGAGCACCCAGATGCGTGGGGTGTTGAGTCGGAACCTGAGGTATATATATATATATATAGACTGTTCTGTTCATTTTGGTGCAGGAGGGCTTGCACGTTTTCAAACCGGACGTCCCCATTCTTCTAGATGGGAGACACCAGGCTTTGGTATGCTTTCACTTTATTGAGACTATGATGCCAAATCATGCGCGAGGAAGGCATCAGAAAGCCATAACATAGAAGACCAAGGCAGGCTTGACAAAAACATACAAAAACAACATTACATAAATTTCAAGGCAGATGGATTTCAGGTGTTTTGCATCTACTTACAGTACTTGAATGCAAACCCCAGTAGTGGATCAAGAACCCAATCCATGGGATTCACAGCACGAACAAGTTATTCATTCTGCGCTGGTGAGTCATTCTGCACCGGTTGGCTTTCCAACGCTGAGGTTCTTTTCGGCACGGCTTCTTGGACTGCAGATGCCTTCCTCAAATGGCTAAAGCATGCACGACAAAGCGGACACTCAAGGATCACTAGGCTCGACTGGGCTAAGCAAAAGAAGATACAATTCCAAATGAAAGGCATGCCGCATACTGTACCGGCTATGTCGCCGGTCCATCAAGCGCTTGTGTTGGGCTCCATGACCGAATCTTCCTGACAGGTTTGGACCATGACCGGTCATGAAACCGTGCCCACACCAAAAAAGATGGTCCAATCCATTGTCCAAAACACCATGTTTTTTTTAACCAAAACCACGATGTGGAGGTGTGCACCGCACGTCCGTTCTGACGAACAGCGCCTTCCTCGAAAAACCGCGCGGCGACGCACACCGCCCACAACCGCGCCGTCCACGCGCCTAGACGCGAGGTGAACTATTGGCGCGATCCCCGCAGCGGCTGGCGGCGCCGCGCCGACTTCTTCTTCGCCAACTTCGGGACGCTGAATGCCAAGGGGCGAAGGGGTTCAGCTGAGTTGCCCAAGTGGACAGACAGGGACAGACACAGCGAAGGATTTTGGATGCAGAAGTTGTAGTTGTAGTGAGTAGTGTGGGAGAAGTATTTTTGTTGTGGTTTGTTTTGCCAATTGGAATGAATTGATGTCATGGAGTCATGGATCGAGAATAGGTTTTAAGAAGACCAAACATCGTTTTTGCGCAGATGCACGTTCAGTAGCAGGTGATCCAGTGATCCTGCATTCATAGGTTCGAGTTGAGCGGACCCGCCGCTCCTTCGAGCTGGATGAAATATATAAAAGCGGTAAGAGACAGCGTGATACGCGCGATCTTTGGATATATATATAATATAGTATACTGACTAGTATACTGTATATAATGTATGTATGTATGTATGTATGTATGTATGTATGTATGTATGTATG